GGGTGGCGGCCGCCGGCGTTCACCGGTGACGGCTCTTGGATCTGATTCGTAGGGAGACGGGGCTGGGGTTTTAGACCCCGCCCGGCTGACAGGCTCTGAAATGTTGTCTAGCGGGGCGACCGCCGAAAGGTCTCGGTGAGGCGGGAGAGACAAGAGGGTGTTACCCCGCCTGCTCTCAGAAACAAACAAGTTATGCACCATCTTTGTCTTGCATAGAAATAAGGTCAGGAATTATTAAGGTATGTGAGGCATCCTGGGAGAAAGCTGGAGCCTCGGTTCTCGCTGTTCAGTCCGCCTCTTGCTACACACACACACACACACACTTTTCAGAGAGAAGCATTAAGTTAACAGACATCCCCTTAGGAGGACTATACACAGCTGATTTTTAAAAAAATCGATATTAGAAATGTCGATTTGTTGTTCCACGTGTTTATGGATCCGTCGGTTGATTCTTGTATGTGCCCCGACCGAGGAGCGAACCCGGAATCTAACCCGCCACTTTTTGGGGTACTGGACTCTCCAACCACTGAGCCAAACAGCCACGGCTGTGTTTAATTCCTTTAGGTGGTTGTTGGTTTTCTTAATGCTTTTTTCCTTTCTAGAAGAGCTAAGTTCTGAATGTTTTTTGTGGAAATTATATTTTGACATTTTAAATTGTTTCATATGAAACATTTCTAGCATAAAAATAAGGTCAGGAATTATTAAGATACGTGAGGCATCCTGGGAGAAAGCTATATTGACTTAATGAAGATTCTTCAGTCTGAAGTTTGAAAAATGTTTTCAAATTTTTAGCAATTTCATTTTAAATAAACATTTAAGGTTTTATCTCATTTTATATAAATTAAATGGTATAACACATGTATATTGTATGTATATTTACATTGTTATTAATTTATATAAAGTTGACGATCACCTAGGGTTTTTTAACTCACTAAAATAAAACAAGAAAAAGTTTTGTTCCTGAATGTTTTTGAAATAGCACCTTCATCTGGAGCCTTTTTTCACGTAGGCTGGAGGCAAAGCTGGTAAGGACAGTGGGAAGGCCAAGGCTAAGGCAGTGTCTCGCTCCCAGAGAGCCGGGCTACAGGTAATGTATCCATTATGCGTAATTCATTATTACGTTATTTTCTTTACTGTTGTAATTTCATGACCCATAGATGTTTCTTTAATTACAAAATGTACTACTGACCTTTAATAATGAGATTAATTGGTCAAAATTCAAATCATAAAGCAGTTGCCTTTTAATTTGTATTCTCTTCCAAATGAGAACAAGTTATGAAGAGGTCTTAAATCTTGTAATTTTCTCTCTTAAAACCTATTATTTCTAGGTTATAGTTACATTCCTGATTCTTTTATAAATTATATCATTGAAATGAGCATGTTGTAGGTTTTCTTTTGAGGAAGGTGTTTGTAGTACACCTTCCTGTAAAGTTAGAGTTCTGTCTCTGACTTTCAGGATGAGATAGAATGTTTGGTAGACTTTTTGGTAGAAATGAATTACCCATTAGTCCTCTGAATATTTCTCCAATAGCTTTAGTTTTAGACTGAGTGATACACTCGAAACACTAAGTATGTTCAAACTTCATCTATTTGAATAATTGCACCTTTAATCGACAAACTAAGAATTTTCTGGATGAGTAAGAATTGTGCTTTCTTTGTAAGAGACACTTTGTAAAAGGAAAGTTTGAAGGCCAGACTGTAAGGTTTGGATTTTATCCTTTTGGCAGTAGTGAGCCACTGAAAGTTTTTGAGCAAAAGGCTGACATGATCGAGGTGGTACTGCAGGAAGGGGGACGGGAACTTACATTTGATGGGTACATTCTGTATTTTAACTCATGTTAATTTGTTAGAATTTATTTGAACTAGGGGACATAGGAGTTTGTGGTAAGGACAAGTTATAAGATTTAAGAATTTAAGTGGAGTCATTTGAAGTTCTACCAAAACATCCACGTGAAAATGTCCAAAAGTTGTAGATTTGAGTCCAGCTTTCCAAGAGAGGTGATTGAAAGAATTACAAATTTAAAATCTTTTTTTTTAATTGGTAGTTCGGGCTATGAACAAGTTTCCAAGTAGAGCATCAGAAAGGAGCACAAGGACAGTGGTGGACCCCCGAAAAACACAAAAAAGACTGAGGAGTAGTCAGAGTTTGAAGTTAGTATTAGAACTCTCTGTAATCTGCAACCCAAGAAGAAATGTTTTTTGAGGACCTACTATGTGTCAGACAAGCCAATCACTGAGGACAAATCTTGGAGTAAGGCATGGATCCTGCTCTTGGGGAGTTCAGAATTGGAAGGAATGTAAACACCCTCCATCCCAAATCATGCCTTTTCTCCTTAAGGGTGCCATCTAGAGGTGACTAATACATTTGGTTATTAAAACGTCACGGCTGGCCTTCAAGAATGGTGTTAATGTTTGCAAGAAAATGAGTGATAAGAAAGTAAGGGTTTCAGGATTTGCTTTTAAATTTTCCCTTCAGAAAGCTGGTATCTAGGCTGTAACTGGAAGCACTTGACATAGACATGTGGAGAGGTCTTGAGTAAAGTGTGTGGAAGGAAAGGAGCCTGTGGAGGGGAAGAAATTGGAACTGTTGAAATGGTGGGGCCACGAATGGTGAGGAGGGTCCCTAAAAAATTGATAGAGGGTAATCAAGGGTGTAGACCTGGGGGATTAGGATATTTTGGAAATAAGGAAGTACCCATTCTCAGAAAGTAGAGAGAGTCAGAGTGAGAGAATGGTATTGGTTTTTCTCAGGTCACCTCTTGAAACTGAGGAAAGACAGTATGGAGTTGGGGGCCGAAGGAAGGTATTTGAGGTTCAAAGTCGCACGAGGCTGTTATGTGAAGGAATTAACCAGATACTAATGTGATTTCGAGGCCACGTGGAATGTGCAGTTGATGCCTGCACAGCAGAGTTTGCCTTCATTTTATGATGACATTCCATGGGATGCAGAAACTAATTCATAAAACCCTGTGGTGGTTCGTGTTCTTTTAACTTTTATTCTCTTCTCAGGAGGGTAAAAGCAGGCATGAAGATTTGGGGCTAAATACTAGGACACAACACACAGGCCCTAGGAACTGTTAATTGCCAAATAGGTTTGGCTTCTAATACGGGTAACCAAGTTTTTTAATTTTATGCTTTACTCATTATTTGCCTTTGATTACACTCAGTGGTGTGATGTTAAGACTCTTCAGTGCCTCCCATTCAGATGGTTTCTCTTTCAGTTTCCCGTGGGCCGCATCCACAGACATTTGAAGACTCGCACCACAAGCCACGGAAGGGTTGGTGCCACCGCGGCCGTGTACAGTGCCGCAATTCTGGAGTACCTCACTGCTGAGGTATGTAGGGGATGCTAGACGTGGAAGCCCACAAATACTAGACTAGAAAAGGCTGGAGCCCGGCCAGTGCAGCTCAGCAGTTGAGCATCAACCTAGGATCCAGGAGATCGAGGTTCGATTCCCGGTCAGGGCACATGCACAGGTTGCAGGTTGCAGCGGATCAATGACTCTTTCATCATTGATGTTTCTATCTCTCTCTCCCTCTCCCTTTCTCTCTGAAATCAATACATATTAAAAAAAGGAAAGAAACAGATGGAACCGTGGAATATGGGCTTGAAGCAAAAAAGACACCTCTGCTTGGTGGTCTCTTTAATAGCAGTTTTAGGTGTGTCTTAATTAGCCTGTTATCCAGTGTCAGAGAACCTGGGTGTGCTTGTTTTTAAAAATTAAGCAAGGGTTGACAATCCTTGTTTTTAAGTGACTGCCAAAGGAATGTAAAAGTTTAAATACTATGCTATACTAATAGTGAACTCTCCAGTAAGCATATACACAATAGAAGTTACAGCATAATCTCTTAATAATTAAGACTTATTAAGTTTTAATAAGTTTTGCCAGTGTGATAAATTACCGGTAGTTTCAGCTTTGCTATGTGGTGAACCAGGGGTTTGGTTTTGGAAATATGGGACTAGTGGAGAACCTCTCTTCCCCTCCTCCTTATCAGTCTTACATGAGTTTTTGTTTAGCTGCAGACTTTTCAGAAAGGTACACATTTTGTTCACTTCTGGAGGCATAGTCTTCTGGCTCAGAATGTTCAAGTCCCATCTGAACTCCCATTTTCTTGGGGAGTTCATCACTACAGGTGTAGAAAATAATTTAGTCCTTAGCAGAGGTAATCACTTTTAAACCTTGGCTTCCTGTTAGGATAACTTGGGGAGCTTTCAAAAGATACTGGTGCCAGGCTGGCTAGAGTTCTAGGGAGAATGGGGGGGGTGGTTCTGGTAGGTTTTAAAGCATGCCAGTCACTTCACATATACACAAGGCTTCCCGAAGCTCCAAGTGCAGAGGGTCTGTGGAGTTATTTTGTATCCTATCAAAGGTTTTATAATGCCATTGTGGTCAGTGGAGGCAAAAAAATAATTTAAAAATGCATTTCTCTGGCCTCTGGAACTTTGAAATTCCTCTAGTTGAAAATTTCCATTATAGAATAAAGGGCTCCTAGCTTATTGCATACAGATAAAAGGGCCCAGTGATGTTAAAAGCAATTTTTAATTGTATTTTTAATCTTTTCTACAAGCGCTAAGAAATTCCAGTTATTAAGAGCTATACAAAAATAGACTACATGGATATATTAAAACGTATGATTTTTCTAGATGTTCACATTTAGAATCTTGGCTGAGGAATAATATCCTTTGGCCTTTACTTCTTTCAATAGAAGTGGCTCTTTGCTGAAGTTTTAGTGCTCTTGCAGAAAATGAATATTAAAAGGCCAAATGAAGTAATGAGAGCTCTATAAAAGCACTATAAAGATATAAAAAAGTATAAATTTCAGAATTTACGAACATTCCTATGATCTCTGTCCTCCATGAATGGCAGGGGTACTTATGAAAGACAAAATCTTTGTTCTCAAGGATATGATTGTTTTGAAAAATATTGGAAGGGACTTGTTCATGTCTATATTACTGTCCAATGCTAAACCCATTGTTGGAGGAGCGTTAATAAATATCCCAGAATTCATTTAAAAACATGAAAAATAAACTGTTGGTTTCTATATATTTTGTGTTTTATGTGCACATGCTGTAGTGATCTTTAGTTATAATTGTGAGTCTACACTGAACCCCTAAACATGTCACCCTTTGTTCGATGTGCTGTCTCACTGGCTTTGTAGGTGCTGGAGCTGGCAGGTAATGCTTCCAAGGATCTCAAGGTAAAGCGGATCACCCCACGCCACTTGCAGCTTGCGATCCGTGGTGACGAGGAATTGGATTCTCTCATCAAGGCTACCATAGCGGGGGGTGGTATGTATTTTGACTTCTCCAGCCTAGATTGTTATTGCCTTTCTAACTTACGTATAATTCAGGTCAATGATCCAGTGCATTTTGTCAGCTAGTTAGAAAACTTATAAACCTAAATTCTGTGATGTTTTATTATAATTCTAGCTTGCTTTTTATTATCTGAATAGATACTTATTCACATATAAGGCTGCTTTTATTTTAGCGAATTCTTTAAATTTCATACATGAATTTCATATATGATACTTAAAATCTGGTGTTCAAAATATTTCTTATGCTTGTTAATCTATGTTTGAAAAATGATCTTGAGAAATTGCTTAATATGATGACCTTGAAAATCAGGGCTGAGATAATCAGATGCGTCGGGATCAGTGAAGGTGAGCCGTATTTTGGTGTCCCTTAAGCCTTTTTGGACCACCTTTAGAGAACCTCTTGAAAGCTCCCAAAAAGCACATAAAATCACATCATTTCACATACAATCTTAGACCTTGAGGAGGGTCCTCCCTTGGTACAGATACTTAAGATGTGAGAGGGGACTTAAGTACATTTCATTCTTTGTATGGCGTTTTTTGGTTTGAGGCACTGAAATGACCAGATACAGCCAACTTAATGTTCTTTTTAATAATTTGTTTCTTTTTATTTCATTCTAGGTGTGATCCCTCACATCCACAAGTCTCTGATTGGAAAGAAGGGGCAGCAGAAAACTGCTTAGAGAGTTTTAACCAACCCTCTTCCTCCCTGTCATTGTACTGTAACTAGGACAGAAGAAATAATGGGGCTATGTGGAATTTTAAAAACAGTTAAATGGAAAAGCATAGACAATTACTGTAGACATGGTAAGAGAAACATTTGTATGTTCTTAGACCCGAAGTTTGAGAAAAGTACCTTTTCATGTGGCAACAGTTGTGTGTTGATTGGCTGGATTTCTCCCATGTGTTTTATACAAAAATGGAATTGATAAACCATTTTTTACAAAAATAATTTGTCTCAAAACTGTTCTGTTAGTGATGTGTTGAAAGTATTTTGCTCATACCTTTGAAATTTTTAAAATTTTAAATCGGTTATATCTTCAGAATAATCTTAAGATAGAATTTGGGACTATAGCGTTACCATGATTGATACTGCATTTTATTGAATCTTAGATGATGTCCGTGTCTAGTGTGCACTGTTCCTTTACATACTTCTAAAGAAGGGAAAACTGCCCATTAACAGTAGTGTGCCATTGATAGAGACGCATCCCAGCTTCAGAAATGTTAGAAATGAAAAGGTGCACTTAGAATTGTTGAAATAGAATAGCAGAACTATCTGATTTACTGAGCGATTACTGTGTGGCAGGCCCTGTGCTAGGTGCCGTACTGACCCAGAAATTTTATTACCCCCACTTTAAAGATGTGGAACAGGAGGTCCACAGAAATTAAATGGTTTGCTAGAAAACACTTAGTAGAAGATGGCAGAGCTGGGATATAAACCTAGATTTGCCTGACTTCAGAGCCCACACTCTTACCTAGATTTGAAGTTAAATTTATCAGAGTTTTCTGCTTTTGGCTTAAAATTCAAACTTTCAGGGGTCTTTTATTTGATACAGTAACATTCAGTAATTTGTACAATATTTAAAAAAATTATTTTTGTCAGTTTCTAAGTAACTTGTAAAATTTAAGTTAATGTTGTACCAGTTAATGGTACATCAGAAAATATTTTTCTGCCTCTAAGTCTTCATTACAAAAAATTTTTTAATGTTTTATAATGCAACACTATCAAAATAAAACTCATTTTTACAAACTTACTTTATTGAAATTTTGAAAAATCCAGAATAAAGAGAATAGTATAATAAGTCCCCGTGTTCTCATCCTCCAGCTCTAACCCTGGTGCTGTGGTCAGTTTAGTTTTACCTGTATCCCCCAAGCCCGCCTCCCAGTGGACCTCTTTGAGCCCTGTTTTGGGCTGATTTACTTTCATGTCAACATACTTCTGTGTGTCTCTAAAGGTGGGGCACTTTTATTACTTATTTTTTATTATTTTTAACCCTCACTCATTGCTTTTGCAGAGAGTGGGGGGGGGGAGGAACGTCAGTGTGAGAAACACATCAAGTGGTCGCCTCCCAAATGTGTCCCAACCGGGGAACAGATGGAGCCTGGAACCCAGGTACATGCCCTTGACTGGAGTCAAACCTGAGACCCTTCAGTCCATGAGCTAGTGCTCTAACCACTGAGCAACCCTCCAGGGCTATTGTTTCTTTTTAATCTATAGATTTCACTTTTTGTTTTTCTTACAATTTAGTTTTTGAAGAAACTGAGTTATTTGTTCTATAGAATTATCTCTAATTGTTGAGATAATTTATTGAATGAAGCCTAATGGTATTTTTTTTCCCATGTTCTCTACATTTCCTATAAACAGCTCTAGAGGTGGTTTATTGCATTTTGCTTTTTCTTTTTTTTTTTTTAAATTCTCACCCAAGGATATGTTTTTTATTGATTTTAGAGAGGGAGAGAGAAACATCATCCAAGATATGTGCCCTGACTGGGGAACGAAACCCACAGCCTTTTGGTGTACGGGATACACTTCAATGAAGTGAGCCACCCGGCCAGGTGCATTTTGCTTTTTCACAAAACTGGCAAGTGAAATTGTGTACTTCCTGTTGTGTGCTTCTCATCAGGTAGCAGCTAATGCCTGCCTCCTCTTGTAACGTGAAGACATTGATGGTGGGTTGGGCGCTGCCAGCCTGCCCCCTGGATCCACAAGTTCTCTTGTCGGCTTTTCCCTCACCATTAACATTACCGCCCAGATGCCGGACTCCACTGGGGGTGGCCAATGGCGATATCCTGTCGTCTCTCCTGCTCTTGGATTTACAAGGCAGGACAAGAAATTTTCACATTCTCATTGGACTATCTCAGCACATATTTTGAACAAGTTTCTATACTGAGGACCCACAGTTGTCCCTGCATGAACTTTTAATGGTTTTTGGAAGCCAAAGTAGTGATAGAAAAGGCAGCAATGAGCAGAATAGGGTTCCTTTACTGAAGTTTTCTAGGTAATTGCTTCAAACATCTATTTACTTTTGGTAGTGTTATTTGACTACCTACAGTGTCCCCAGGATTGTGGGGTCTTTTTCTTTAATTGACTTGAGAGAAACATCGTTTTGTGGTTCCACTTACTTATGCACTCATTGATTCTTGTATGTGCCGTCACTGATCTAATCCACAACCTTGGCGTAATGGGGACGATGCTCTAACCAACTGCCTTGCGAGGGCAGGTGGGATGTCATTTCTGCGACAGGTTTTAAGACACTGACTTTCATCTGGTCGGTGAAGCCTTGAGGCACCCATGTGCACTACAAAGCAGATCCTTCCCTGAGGTGGCCACAGCCAACACCTTGACTCGCAGAACCCAGTCAAGCTGTACTCGGATTCCTGACCCACAGAAACTGAGATGCTGCTTACTCATTAAGTTTAGGAATAATTTGAAACACAGTAGATACCCATCCAATGTGCGTCTGCATGTATGATTCACAGTAAGAAATTTTAAGTTCCTAATTCTGGGAGAAAATAAACAGGGTCTATGTTCCACACAGTTCGCTCCAGTACTTGTGAGCCTCCTGTAGGCCAGGCACTAGGATTCACTGAACAAAACCCCGGGGGTCCACTCTTAAAACTGGCCACACACCACATGCCAGGCCCTCACAGGGTGCTTGTTGATGGCATCCTCACGACCTGCAAAGCAGTGCACCCTGGGCAAGACGCAATTGTCTAGAACGTCGACCCAGTTCTGGAACAGGTCTGCAAACCGCCCCTCAGCTTGGCACTTTTCCATGGGTACCCACGGGAGCCTAGCCGCAGCCTCTGAAGAACAGAAGTGGGGAGCAAGCAGGGAACTGGTGACAGTCTTTGTACATGCAGGTCCTGCCTGAACCTTTTCCTCACCTGATTTCCAGTTATGCCATTTGGGGACATTGCTGATGAGGTCGTCTTGCTGCACATACTATCCATGTGAAAACAATTACCAGCTCCAGGAATCTGGTCTGCCCTCCACCTCCACCTCCTGTAGGGTAGGAACCTCCCTACTCTGGCTCCGTTCTTTCTCCCAATACCCAGGCTTGTTGCGTGCTGTTTGGTAGACACTTGAAAAAAAAGCAGCCAGTGACTGTTCCCTAGGACTAGCCTTAGAGGAACACAGCTGAGAGGCTGTCCATGTCCACCAGGGCACTGTCACCCAGAGAACATGAGGGAAGTGGACTTGAAATCCACTGTGGTTTAGTGCAGAAGGAACTAGCCAAGCAGCCTGGTGGTACGTGGTCAAGTGCCTCGCCTCACACCATTAGAAACGTGATTGCAGGGACAACTGAGCCCCCAAACTGGAGTCAGCTAGGTGAGGACAGTGCTGCAGTGATTGAGGGGTGTTCCTGGCTTGCACCTCCACTGGACTGTCTCCTGACTGGCTTCCTTCCACCTGTGCCTAAGTAATCCCCGACAATTAACATCTTCTTGATTATAGGAAACCGCTGGTCGGTTTGGCTCCGTGGTTAGTGTTGGCCCTGGACTGAAGGGTCCTGGGTTCAATTCCAGCAAAGGGCACCTACCTGAGTTGCAGGCTTGGCACTTCAGGACTTGTGGGGGAGGCAACCAAACTATGTCTGTCTCTGAAAAGCAATGGGGAAAATATCCTGCGGTGATAAAGGAAACCAAGGTAGGTCCTTTGGTAGTTGATAGGCATGATGGTCATATGTTTCCCACAAACCTTGACTTCAGCATATTACTTATGTAAAAAATTAAGTTCACAAGAAAAAGTGTGTATTATGGAGGGACTGCAAGACCTCAAGTGACTGTTGGGGAAGGGCCTCTAACACCCCGACCACGGAGAGGTTGATAGTAACTGGTCACTACAGTTGGCCTGGGGTGAGGTAGAAACAGATGCCCTCTGCAGGCTACAGAGCTCCGGCTTCCTGAGCTTTCTTACCACTCAATTTTCTTGAGAATTTAACATGTAATTAAGCTTTACGATAAACCTTTTTATCTACATCCTCAACGTTTTTCTGCAAAAGAGCCTAAAGACCCTTGCCAAGAGCCTATAAAGCCTGGCAGATTCTTCTCAGAGTGTGTGCACCATCATAGACGTTCAAGTTAAGTTTTGTTAAAACAAGTCATGCTTTTCAATTTGTTATAGTACCAATTCTGATACCTCCGAATGTGACAAGTGGAACTTCCTTAAAAGGAGCACCGTTCCCAGCTCCCAGTCTTTTTCCTGCCCCTGCCTACATCTCCTGCATTCCACTCACAGCTTACCTGGGTGAGTTACATTTAATCCTTAGGTGAGGGAAGCAAAAACAAAAGTACTAGAAGTAATGTTGCTTAAAATGAAACCCTAACCCAAACAAGGACAGACAATTGTTTAGCTTTTATTTCATAATCATAAACTTAACTCTGCAATCCAGCTAGACTTGGAGAAGGGGTAAGGAAAATATGGAACCCAATGAACTGCGGAGAGATTACAGAACATTCCAAGCAGATGGGGGTGAAGGGGTGCTCTCCTGAGCTACAGAAGGAATGGTCTGGTAGTTAAGATAAAACACAAGTCAAATTGATTAGAGTTGTCCACAGTCAGCAATGGTGACCTTCTTGCTGGGCTTGCCATTCTTGGACCCCAAGCCCTCGATGGTCTTCACAATATCCATGCCTTCTTTCACCTGGCCGAAGACCACATGCTTGCCATCCAACCTGGAAACAGAACAATCACTACCACCAGTGACCAGAGATAACCAGCAGCCTGCACTGTGCATCAAGATGAGGAAAGTGGCCCTGCCCAGTGTGGCTCACTGGTTAGTTGGCCCTTGAACCAAAGGGTCCCAGGTTTGATTTCAGTCAAGGTCATGTGAGGGAGGCAACCAATCGATGTCTACCCCCCCACCACCACTCTCTCTGAAAAGCACCAGAAAAAAGATTCTCAGGTGAGGACTTAAAAAAAAAAAAAAAGCCAAGTGCCCCACAAACCAACATAGCATACCCAAGAGAACACCAGAAGGGAGGCTTATCCAGCCTCTAACGCTGACTCGTTAACTACTGCAAACGGTCTTTCATCCTTCTACCTGAAGGAAAAAGACACCACCACAGACTGACTCAAAATGGTGGCAAAAGATTCTCCAACTGCAGCTAAAGATCATTAGGTTTAGAAGAGGATCCCCCAAAGGGTCAATAAGTCACATGCTAATTAGACAAAAGCCAACTATCCAGCAGCTAAGTGCCCTGGTTCACTGTTTCAACAGGACCCCTACACCTCAGAGATGGAAACAGCAGGGAGACTGAGGCCAACAAGCAGTGCTCCTCGGTGGCCCCGGCTGCGTTTTGCCCTTACCAGTCTGTCTTGGCAGTGCAGATGAAAAACTGGGAGCCGTTTGTGTTAGGTCCTGCATTTGCCATGGACAAGATGCCAGGTCCCGTATGCTTCAGGACGAAATTCTCATCTTCAAATTTTTCCCCATAGATGGACTTGCCGCCTGTGCCATTGTGGCGTGTGAAGTCACCACCCTATGCACGTAACAGAGAAACCTGTCACTTTTACAACATAATCAGAAAGCATGCCAAGCCTGCAAGGTTCAAACTTTAAAACTCAAGTTTAAACTGACCAGAAGGTTTAAATGAAACCAAAATGGTAGAATGTGTACACATCCTGAATGGTACTGGCTCAATCCCAAATTAACAACCCAAAACAAAATCAGTAAATTTCATACCTGGCACATAAATCCTGGAATAATTCTGTGAAAGCAGGAACCTTTATAACCAAATCCTTTCTCCCCAGTGCTCAGAGCACGAAAGTTTTCTATTTAAAAAAAAAAAAAAAAAAAAAAAAAAAAAAAAAGAAACGTATGTATACACAACACACACAAAATTGAACTGCCTTTAATAAAACTTAAAAGGAACTAACCTGCTGTCTTTGGAACTTTGTCTGCAAACAGCTGTAAGAGAAAAATGACAACACCTGCTTACATATTTTATTGCTAACTACCCACGTCTTTAGGGGCTTCTGAATCAAATTCCTTTTCTCACTGGAAAAGAATGCTTCAGTAATTACTTCAAATCCCAAATAAGAACTGCTCCAGACAGCCTTAAGTCCTGTGGGGGTGAGTTAGGCAACATGAGACTAAAAGACATGCCAAAAATTCAGAACCCGTAATGACTTAAATAGTGCAAAGCTTCTAAAAAGTGACTTAGGACTTTTGAAGTGTTACGACACCTACTTCTAAACAGATACACGGCTTCTCAAATGTCCATCACCTCCAACCTCAGCTGAACCGAAGGACAAGATTTTCAGGCATAGTAACTACTCCTGCTGCACTATCGGGGTAAACTGCTCTAACTTTAGGCAATGGCAATGCTCCCATCTCCAGCCTGTTAACATAGCTTTAAGGGATTAGATGAGCAGTCGCTTCCTGGTTTCTGGGTCCCTTACCTAGTAGTGGGGTAAAAACAAAGGTTGGTTTCCACGGCACCTGCCCGTACAACACATTTACAAGCCCTTTCACAAAGGCAGCTTGTTTGAAAATATTTTGTCAACGACTCCAGAGATCTGTGGCTAAATCTATGCACATCCCTGGACGTTCCACTCAGGACTACAGCTACTCAGCGTCTACGTACTTGTCCTTACAACATCGGCTCTTCCTGCGCACTGATATTCCCACTTAAATCACCACCATTTCCTCTGTGGGCCGAAACTAGGGCTGAGGCCCTTCCTCAGCGCCGCCTCCACGCTGCCAAGGGATAAGCAGGAGGTCCTATCCCGTTTCCACTAAGCCCCGGCTAACCCGACACTAACACGCTGCGAAGCTTTAGGCTCCGGCCAAGTTTCCACGTGGGCCCTTGACAGCTAGTAGGTGGCTCAGATAGTGGCGGCCAGACTGGGACGCAGTGTCTGTCCCACGAGGCTGAGGGGCGCGCGGCCAGCCGGGCGCGGTGGACAGGAAGCCCGCGCCCTCGACCTGCACGAGGTCCCGCGCCCTGAGCGTCGGGGGCTTTTGAGAAGCGTCCCAGACGGGACCACACCCAGGGCCGGGGACGCGGCGCCCACCCCTCACCCGAGCGCGGCCTAGGCTGCAAGGCCCGGCCTCGCCCAGGGC